AAACCTCTCAGACAGAGCCTGAGCCCTTTTAATTGGCACTGCTTGGGAGCAAGCAGCAATTAAGCCATCCTGCCCCAGTTCTCAGGCCAGGGACAGGCTTGAGGAACGCCAGCAGCGTGTTTGTACACACAACAGGAGAGAACTGGGCAAAGGCTGCTCCCCGGGCCAAACCCCAAGGAATCAGCGCATCAGGGGCCTCCAACACTCCCCTGGGACCCCTCAATACCTCCCAGCAAGTCATTTCCATGCATACCAAGAGGATCTGCATTGGAGAGCGAGACAGCAATGCTGATAAAGCAGGGATTTCCCAAGTTTAGCCAGTTTTTTGCTTCAGTTGCAAAGGAATTAACCATCCCAGCAGCCCAAAAGGTGCAACAAGCATTCCCAGCAGGAGACTGATCCAGCCCCAGCGCAGCGTGGGTTAATTAACTGACCTTGTTAATGGACTACCCTTTTACACCTCAAACCAAGGGGTGAGATTAGAGTAACCTCTTCCACCAAGGCCATCAGTTCCCTGGGGAGTGTGGGTGGGTTAACATAGATTCCAAGGTCAGGGTAGTGGCCAGTGCCAGGAGATGGATGAGCATCCCTGAGGCAGCGAGCAAAGGTCACCAGCAGCGAGAAGCAGCTGGGTGTGATGGAAAAGCTTTTCTTTGAGGTGCTGGTTTGGGGTTTTTTTAATCATTTCTTCAACTCAGCTGGGTAGGAATAACACTGAAACCACGGAAATTGGAAATTCCTTACTTGCCCTCTCACACAGGGTTGGGTGTCCCCCTACAAGAGCGGCGGCAGAGCCCAACTCCAAGCGGAGCCACGAGACAGAGGAGGGAGAAAGCAGCAGAGCTTCTCCTTCCCAGTGGAAAAACTCCCACCACACGCTCCTGAATCAACAATACTTGGCACAGCAGGGCAGGCTGGAAGCAGCCCAGCTCCAGGGAAATGCCGCTGTGGCTGTGCTCTAACAGCACCAACTCCAAGCGCTCGGCTCCTTTGGCTTTCCCGTCTGGGGAGGCGAGAGGAGATTCTGGGATTGAAAGCACTGGCACAAAGAGAGCCACAAAGCTGGAGCACAAAACCAGGAATGTGGGTTTTTTTTGGAGCAATTAGATGCCAGTGTCCCAAAGCAGCAGCTGGCTGTGGTGCTCTGACGCCCACCACCCCTTTTCCCCATCCCTTCTGCCAGAGCCACGGCCGGATTTTGGCAGCTGCGCTAATGGATGTGGACGTGCTCCGTCTGCTCCCAGCCCACACCTCGTTAGCCACGGAGGCAGCGGCTCAGCCCTTAATTGCTGGCCCACACTGCAGCCAGGAGCCAGCAATGCCAGCAGCACGTCAGCCCCGGCTCCTTCCCCGCTTCCCACGGCACACGGAGCGGGGCAGGCGCGGCTGATCCCAAGGAAAGGCACCGGGACGTCCCAACCCCTCTGGATGTGGGGAGCAGCCACGGCCAGAGGTGACAAGGCCACCCCAAGGTCCCCTCACTCCCTGCTCACCTCCTGGCTGGCAGCGATGTGTGCGGGATGCGCTTCCTCGCCCAGCGGCTCGATCACCGTCACCTCGGCAAAGTCCTCCACCGACTCCTGGAACTCCGGCAGCGAACGGCGCCCGTAGCGTTTGCCACCTTTGATGTACTTGGGTTGTGCTTCTGGGGAGGAATCTGGGGAATCCAAGCACAAAACACATCAGGAATGTGATTTTTGAGCTGTTCTGCTGGCAGAGTTTGGAGCATCCGATTGCCACCACCATTCCTGGATCATCACTACCCTCACCCTGGCACTGGGTATGATGGTTAGAAATGGTGCTGCTCCCTGCCAAAAAAAAAAAACATCACAAAGTGGAATCTTCCTCTTCCTCACCCCTCCCCAATTCCCAGATCAAGTTAACAGGGTGATGGGGAGGAAAACCCCCTCAGCCTGGGATGGAAAGCCCATTAGGCCTCTCCTCCTTGCACTGATCTCCATTAGCAGCACCAGGCAGGTTTAATTAGGGACAGAGCTGCAGCTCAAGTCTCCAGATCCCACAGACACCTGGGCTGTTCTCCATGGGTTTGAATTTCAGCTCCATTAAAAATGCCCAAACACCCGAGGAGCAAGCGGAAAAAAACCAGGGAGAGTTTGGAATCTCTGTGGGGCTGACGGGAGCAGCTGATCCAGGCGATGGTGGGGCAGGCCCCAGCCTGTGCTGAGCAGCCAAAGCCAGCTGCAAGATCTAAATAACCCTTTTTGGAGTCATCATCTAATTACAGGGGGCTCCACATTCCCCAGCTCCAGCTTCCCGCAGCAAGCTCCTGCCTTTGGGGACTGAATTATCCGGGAGCACTCGCGGGCGAGGATCAAAACAAAGCAAAAATAAAATGAAATAAAAAAATCAGCACGTTTTGGGCTGTTTTCAGTGAGAATCCTCTGACATCTGGAGCAGGGGGCAAATTAAAGGAAGGACCAAATTAACCAGGGATTCAATTAGGGGAAGGCTCCGTGCCACCCTTTGTTTCAGTGTTTGCTAACCTGAGCGCTGAAACCCCCCCAGGACTCCATCATCTCTTATTTTCCACCACTCCTGGTGGCAAGAGCAGCAGCTTTTGAAAATTTTATTTGCAGAAGGCTCTGATATAAAAGAAATGCAAGAGTGCAATACTAATAAGGCACAGGGAAAGCTGCTCCACCACTGACAAAGGATACACGGAAAGCAGCGGGTCTCCAAACCCCCCTACCCCACAAATGCCTCCTCGGATAATATTCCTTTAGATATGAAAGAAAAGGCTTCAAGCTTGTTAGAGGGGGAAAAAAAAAAAATATATATATATTCTACAACTTAGCTATGCAATGAATTATAAAATACACAGGCTGAGGAGAGCTTTGATTCCTGCAGCCCCGCACTCCATCCAGCTCTAGGGAACAAACCCGGCGCCCGTGTTTGAACAAGGCCATTTTAACAAGATTTGCTGCAGCTGGGACTCAGCACATGAAAGTTGGGCGATGGAGTGCACCGATAGAAAAATCAGGAGGAGACAGGCTGATTAAGGAAGAGCCCCAGAACAAAAGCAAACCTTATCACTCCTATTAAAGCCCGCCCGGTGGTGAACAATCTCCATCCAGCAGCTCTCTCTGAAATGCTAATATTTGTGGCTACTCATTCACCCAGTTATTTTCTCCCTCCCACACAAGAGAGGGCTGGGGGCTTTGTTTTTCCTTCAGAAATCATTTTTATTATTCCAAAGACAGAGCCGTACCTCCATCTGTCTTTGGAGAGATGGAGGAGGGGAATTCAGCAATAGCAGAGCGACGGCTGAATTTCCTTTTGGGTTTCCCAAAGAATCCACTGACTGCAGCTGGAAATTCGGTGCTCTAGGGGAAGGTGGCCCTGCTGATGGCAGGAGGGTTGGAATGAGATGGTTTTCAAAGTCCCTTCCAACCCAAACTCTCTGAAACACAAGTGTCACCAGGCTGTGCCCCAGGGATGGGAACAGGAGCATCTCCCCACCCCTGTGCTTTCAGCATCTGTGGATTTCTGTCTTCTCTCTGCTCTGAGCTTGTTTGCCTTTTGCAATTAAAGGTGACCCTTCACAGCTCGAGGAGAACAAAGTTTGCTCCAACTTGCAAACCAGCTGTGCCTGAGCCCAGCTGCTGAGGGGATCCCAGCTCAGGCACCCTGAAATCCCATTTCCAGAGCCAGGGAGCTTCTCTTAACACTGGGTTACAGCTGTTCCCTTATCCTGCAGCCCCATCCCTGAAATCCCTCTCCTCTCCAGCATCCTCACCTCTCAAGCAGGAGGACACAGACACCTCCCACACCTCCAGCATCCTCTAAACCTCTCCAGCCCCTGCCTTCCCAGTCCCCAGCACAGCAGCTGGTGCTCCTTGATGCTCCCACCATTCCCAATATTTTAGGGAATGCTGAGCACACACAAAGCCACCCCCTGCATTCCTGAACGCAGGAAATTCACTGAACAGGTTCTCAATCCCAGCCAGAACCGAGGAGGAAGGGTTGGAGAAGCGTCAAGGTTGGAAAAGACCTCCGAGGTCATCAAGTCCAACCTTGGATGGAAAGAGCTGCTCAACCCACGTGTGCCTTCAGAAACACAGCAGGAGCACGAAGGAGATGTCAAAATCAAACCTTTCACTGAAGCAGCTGCCCATGAGCCAGCCCTGTGTGCTATTTATCCCCCAAAATACCAAATATCCCCCTGAACAGAGGGGAGGATGCTCTGCTACCCGCTCCTCCCCCCAGGAGCAAGGTGAGGTGCTGCTGTTCAGACCCTCACTATTGTGTGGCTGACAAATCACCAAGAAAAGAGAAAAAAAAAAAAAAAGAAAAATAAAATAGGTTGAGCCCTCCCTGCTCCCTACAGCCCTCGGCAAAGCGTGGGCTCAGTAAAACACACTCCAGAGCTGGTGCCTAATCAGCCACTGGGGCCTGATCTGAGAAGGGGGCTGAGAGAAGAAGCCTCTCACCTTCCTGCACTGCCCAGAGGGTTTGTGGCCCTCAAAGTGCCCTCTGAAATGAAACAACCCCCCCAAAATCTGCATTTCATGAGCCCTCCCCTGATTTAGGACAGAAAGCATCGATTCCCTCTCGCTCCCCCCGTCCATCCCGGCGGTGAAACCTCTCCGTGGCTGGAGATTTACACTTGATTTTCTGCCTTTCTGCGCCAGATAAGTCATTTCAAAATCCTGCTCTGCCCTCAGATGGGGAGGGAGGGGGGCTCCCCTTCCCTGGGCCCAGCATCAAAGCCCTGCAGCGCAGACAAAAGGGGGTTTAGGGCAGGAGGACCCTCATCCCTCAATCCCGGCGTTTGGAGCTGAAATTAATTTCTCTGCTGCTTAAGATTTGGAAGGGAGGGATGTTCCAACTGCTGGGCAAAGCACAAGGCAGCCAGGATCTGCTAAATCCTAATCCCCTGAGGCACCAGGTATGTCTGAACTCCTCCAAGTCTTATTTCATAATTCAGGCTCAACAGCAGAGGAGTCGTGGCTGGGTCACCACAATCCAAAATATCCAAAAATCAACGGGTTTGGACCCAAAAATATTCTGTGCCATCACCCACCCCTGGCAGGGCTGTGACATTGCTTTTAGCCCCACCTGAACAGCCTTTCCCCCACGGATGGGGCCCTTCCAAAGGGCATCATCCCCACCAGCTGCTTCTTTCAGAGGGCTGTTCTGTTGTCTCCAGAAGGAGAAGGAAAAAGCAGGGAAGGGAAAAACCCAAACCCCCTGGTGACTGTAGGAACGATGGCGTCAAACTGCTCTTTAATTTCTCCTGGGTGTTCCTGTAATCCTGCACTCCACCCCAGTAATCCCTCCCTAGCCCAGCTTCCATGCACTTTTTATTTGCTGTCATGGGGAGGAAAAAAGCCTGATTTTTATTTTTTTTTTTTCCCCCTTAATCACCCACACAACTGATTTTTTTCTGTTTTGTTTTGTTCTCCTTCCTTTCCCCACCCTTAAATCTATTTTATTGTCCCTCCTCACTGCTGCAGTGATCTCTGGACAAAGAGCAGCGGTGACAGCAGCACCCAGCCGGGTCCCACGCTCCTCAAGAGCTAAAACAGTGATTATTTTAAACCACATTCAAGCCCTTTTCTGCTTTTCCTGGAATTTCCCCATCTCTCTTCCCAGCAGGGCCAGGCTTTGCCCAGCCAGCTGATGCTCTGGTTCACAGCTGGCTCTGTGTCCCCACACTGACACCCTCGAGGGGACAGAGCTCTGGAACTCTGCCCTGCCTTGGTTTCCAGGCAAAGAGCCTGCAGCACCCTCCTCCCTGCCAGTCTCTCAGCGAATTCAGCCTCTTTGCCAAGAAAATAAAATAAAATATAAATATATCAGCTGCTCCCTGCAAGCCTGAGTGCTTCTCCCACCTGCTGCTTCCTCCTGGAGTGAGGAAACCCCATCGGCTGCTCCTGCAGGAACTGCAGCGCTTTTGGTTCCCTGTCCCCAGCCCTGGCTCCTGCCTCAGCATGGTTTGGGTGAAAAGACCTTGGAAATCATCTCCTGGGACACCCTCCACTGTCCCAGGATGCTCCAAGCCCTGTCCAGCCTGGCCTTGGACACTCCCAGGGATGCAGGGACAGCCACAGCTTCTCTGGATACCCTGTGCCAGGGCCTCCCCACCCTCCCAGGGCAGAACTCCTTCCCAATATCCCATCCATCCCTGTCCTCTGGAAGGTCAAACCCATTTCTCCTTGTGAATAATCCCTTTCCCTGTTTCTTTCAGCTATTGGAAAGGGCTGTAAGGTGTTCCCAAAGCTTCTCCTCCCCATCCTGAGCAGCCCCAACTCCCTGAGCCTCATCCCTCGGTGCCTGCAGCAGCTCCATGTCCCTCCTGTCACCCTCCTTGTGCCAAAAATCCCTGCATAAAACCATCACAGCCACTTCCTTCCAGAGCAAACTTCCCAGATGCTGCAAACAGCCTTCAAATCTCTGCTTCTCCACCCTCCCTCCCCCTCCAATCCCCCCCAAATTAAATTTTCATTTAAATGATACGATTTAGAGCTCTTAACTCAATTTTTCCCAAGCCTGGGGCGGGCTGGAACACCAGCATTTCCACACTCCCTGACAGTTTGACACCAAGAGCACAAAGCAGCTTGTTCTCCAAATCTCCAGTTTGATCTAAATTAAAAGAAGCAAAGACTTTGGCGTTAACCAACCTGTCAAAATGCATTAAAAATCAAATGCCTCCCAGGCCTGCCTGGCTCTGGCTCCCTACCTGTACCCCAAACCCTTTGATTTCCTGCCATTCCAGCCCCAGCTGACAGGAGTGTCCCCAAGGAGGGCTCTCACTTCTCATTTCCCCTGTGACAACCCCCAAATTTCGCCGTTTCTGGAGGATTTTATTTACATTTCAATCAAGCTGGAGCCTCTCAGCCATGTGATACCCCAATAAATGCAGAATGCTGGATTAGTTCTGGCTCGCTGGGGTTGCCTCCTGCTCTGTGCCAGCTCCTTCCCAAGGGGCTGGAAAGGGATGCTCCCCCCTCCCTGAGCATCCACTGATCTGCACTTGGAAATTCCATTAAGGAATGCTGGGTGCAGGAGCTGCCATCACCCCTCTGGAAAGCATTGAAGAGCTTTGGAAATGAGAGGTGGAAAATAAAAATAATCCATCAATCATAGCTCTCCAACCCTGTGGTTTTTTGCAGCCTATTTAAAGGGGAAAGTTGTCATTTTGCTGGCAGGCTGCTCTCTCTCTCTCTCTCCAGAGTGGGATGCTCCAGCTGAGATTGATGCTCCAGGAGAGGAAACCTGGAGAATTCCCTCTCCCCCTCTGCTAAGCTGTTTTCTCCTTGGGGGATTTCATTCCCCTGCTGCTCCAAAGACAGGATTAGGGATTTACACACAGGTGTGAGCCCAGCTGGAGCTGCAGGGGCTCAGCATCACCTCAGCTCCCAGTGCTCCCAGTCCCTGCCAGGGGAGGGGGGAAACACTGCAGCTGAAACCACATTTCCTGCCAAGGAAAGCCTAAAAATCCACATTTTTCAAGGCACACTGAAACAAAAAGCAAGTTAAAACCAGAACACTGAGGATTCACAGCACTGCCCCATCCCTGGAAGTGTCCAAGGCCGGGTGGGATGGGACTTGGAGTGAGCTGGGATGGTGGAAGGAGAGCTGGGGGTGGAACTGATTCCTTTCCACTCAAAGCACTCAAAATTCCATCCTGGAATTCTCTGACCAACCCCAAGCTGGTTTCTCATGAGCTTCACTTGTTCAGGAGCACCTCTGGAGCAGCCTGACTGTTTCCTGGGAGAAACACAGAGAAGCTTCCTACACCCCACTCACCTCAGGTTTTTAAACCTAATGTTTAAAATCATAAAAAAACAACACAAATCCAGCTGGGAAAAACCCCCAGCAGCAGCAGAAAATGAGGAAATCAGTCATTTGGCCATAACTCTCTTGCTCCTAAAGCATCCCTGGGCAGCAGGAGTGGGGTGGGGTGGAGAGAGCTGAGACATCCTGAGCATCTCAGGCGTGGTGCAGCTGTGTGCTCACATCCTGTCAGCATTTAAATCATGGGAATGGGATAGAAACACCCAATGGCTCCAAAAACACCTTTGTGCAAGGTTCCACAAGAGATCTCAGCTCCCTTTTCTCCCAAGATCAGCCTTTTCTGCTCAGATGGCAGCACCTAAAAAGCATTTTCTCTTCCGAGTTCTTCTGTGAGAGCCACCCACGGCTGCCTTGCCAATAAAAATGGATTATTTTAGGTCATTTCAGTATTTACCTGGTTCTTGGAAGTGCTCTTCATTTGACAGGGTTCTGGATAAGATGAGGATAAGTGCTTCTTTAAACTGATCAAAGTGGACCTGTGGGGAAAAAAAAATGGGAAGAAAAGAGGAAATCAGCTGGTGCAGGGAGTTAAATATGAGGCAAATAATCCAGCAGGAAGATGGGAATTACTCAAATCATCACCCCTGTGCCAACAGCCTCGGCAAGGGGCACGGAGGAACCCTGGAGAAGTGACAGCAAGGGACATGAAAACACCTTTGGGCATGTGGGAGGAATTATTGCTGCCACAGAAAGATCCAAAGGCACAGATTCCGTGCACTGGTTGGGTTTTTCCATCGAGCAAGAAGCCAAAATAACACATCCAAAGGAGCATCTCCATCACTTGAGGTGACCTGGCCAGGGAATGGTCGAGACCATTCCTGACCAGGGATGAATAGTCCATTGTGGAAATGCTCCACTGCCCTAATTAAGCTTCAAAAAAAATAAAAATCATTTCCCAATGTGGATGGCAGAAAAATCCCTCCCTTTCCAGGGCAGCCCTGCCCCAGCTCCTGCAGCTCTGAGAGGGCTGAACTGGGAATAGCAGGCCTGGAGTGTAGCTGGGAAAACCAGAGAGATAATCCTGCCACTCAGAGGGGTTTTTTTTTTCCTCTTTTTTCCCCATCTGTGCCTTCCTGGAAATCCTCCTGCCTCCCAGGCAGGAACAGCCACAAAGAGACCTCAGCATCCTCCCCATGGTGCCGGGGAATGTCAGCAATTCCAGCCGTGGGGGACACCCAGGGACAGCTGGAGGAGCTATTTGACATGGGTCAGTGGCCAGCCAGAGCTGGCTGCTGCCATTTCTTTTGGCTAAATAAATCTTAGAAGAATTTCCAGCACGGAACAAAAGATTTTGTATTTAAAGGAGCCCGGCCAGGCTGCTCTGGGCGAAGGCAGAGCTGCACTCAGAGGGATTTTCACGCTGCTGGGGGAAGCACAAGCAGCAAAGTTCAAGTCTGGAAGTTCTCCAGCCTGGTTTTGGGTGTCAAGAAAGCTCAAAAAAATACCAAGAAGCTCTCTGGTAGGGAGGGGACACAGGTGAGGCACGGAGGGACAGGGGAGCACCTCGTGCCGATCACCCCTGAGGCTTTAAACGATTTTCAACACGTTTCTTAAAGACAATTAAAAAATATGTTGAGCAGAGAAGCTCATCAGGAATGCCTCCATCTGAATGCTAATTGCTGCCATCCATTTCTAGTCACTTCAAAAAGGACAGTTTACAGAGATGGGCGAATTTCCACGATTCAAATAAAAAAACCAACTTGACATTTAGACTAAATGAGGATGAATAAAAGATGAGGGTGCTCAAATTACAGGTTCCCTCCCCAGGGGGTGCTCTGAGGAACTCAACTGTGACAACAGCCAGAGCCAATCCCTTGGTTCTGTCCCTTGGACATCCTCGGTTCCTGCTGGGGCTGGGTTTGGATGGGATCAAGAAAACAAGATCCACTTTGCATCCCTCATGCAAACACACGGAATTAAATAAAGCCAAAACATCTGGGCAGGTGTGCAGCACCTCTGACACCACCAGAACGAGCCCCATCAGCCCTGGCTGTGCTAATGAGGAGGAGGAAGGGCTGGGGAAGCTGAGGCTGGGGAAACTGAGGCTGGGGAAGGTGAGCAGGATGTGGCCACGCTCCTGTGCTGCACAGCAGGATCTCAAATGCAAATCAGCAGCACCTGGACAGGCACAGGGAGTTCCCCAATGCCCTCCTCACTCTGGAGGTGGAGTCCCAGCTGGCAGAGGGGGGAGATGTTTCCTCAACAAGGGCCAGAGGTTTTCCTAACAGCAGCAAAAGCCGTCTGTGGCACACGTCTGACCTTGGATGTGGCGTGGCTGCACACAGAGGGTGCTCAGAGGCTTCCAGGAACAGCACTGATAAAATCTGAGCACAAGCCAGGCAAGGCAGCCACGGGACAGCAAAGCCACAAACGCTGCAGAAATCCTCCTGCAAAGGTGGGGAGGCTCTGGCACAGGGCTCCCCATCCCTGCAGGTGTCCAAGGCCAGGCTGGATGGGCTTGGAACATCCTGGGATAGTGGGAGGTGCCCGTGGCAGAAGGAAATGGGCTTTAAAGGTCCCTTCCAACCCAAACCACTCTGATTCTACAATTCTGTGTTGGTATTTCTCATCTGTGTGTCTGCTCAGGGGGGTCTCTCAGCAATCTGGGCTGATCCCAAGCAGGCTGGGGGGGTTTGGGAGGTGATGCACAACGTCCCCAGGCTCAGGGACACCCCACACATCCCTGCAGACCCCCAGCCAGACCAGCACTGCACAGCCAGCCCTGCTCCCAGCCAGGAGAACCCTCCCAGCACAAGTAAATCAGAGGCAAACCAGACAACCAGAGCAGCAGAGAGAGGCTCAGCCAGGCCAGCCCAGCCTCCCCACGGCCTTCGGGGACCGAGCAAAGCCGCGGCAACTCCGGCTCCTCCGAGAAATCCCGAGGCCTCTTCCCAGCCGGCTCCCTCTGAAGCTGTGCCAGATGAGCACTGGAAAGAGCTGTGTGCCTGTGCCAGGGTACCTGCTGCTCCCTGCTGGCTCCCTGCCACGCTCAGCACTTGGCACGGCCGGGACAGGCCGGCAGCAGCGGCTCCTGCCCTGGATCTGCAGCACAACCCCGTTCCCAAAGCTCCGTCCCCACCTGGAAACTCCTGCCAGGCAGGAGGGTGAGGAGGGAAATGGCTGCTGGGGGAGATGTAGAGTCATGGAATGATTTCCTGATCCACAGGGATCACCCAGGGCAGCTCCAGGCCCTGCACAGACCCCCCAACAGCCTGGGCATCCCTGGCAGCGCTGCCCAAACCCTCCTGGGTCACCATTCCCTGGGGAGCCTGGGCAGTGCCAGCACCTTCTGAGGAAGGAAATCCAACCTAAACCTCCCCTGGCACAGCTCCAGCCTTTCCTTCAGCTCCTAACAAGCCAAACTTGCGGGAACAGCAGCCCAGGGCAGCCTCACCCCGTTCCTCCACGCAGGGCAAACCCCACAGAGCATTATAGGGGAGCAGCATCACTGCACAGGGGAGGGGTTCTGCAGGAACCTGGCCTGGAAGGGCACAGGGAGGGGGTTCTGCAGGAACCTGGCCTGGAAGGTGCTGAGAGCCCAGGCAGGGTGTCCTTGCTGCAGGCTGTGAATGCAGCGGTGCAGGTGAAACCTGAGCTCCCCATCCCTGCTCAAGGACAGCGCCAAGGACAGGCCCTGCAGCGCCCACAGAATCCCAGAAGGATTTGGGTTGGAAAGGACCTTAAAGCTTATCTCATCCCCTGCCATGGCAGGGACACCTCCCACTGTCCCAGGCTGCTCCAAGCCCTGTCCAGCCTGGCCTTGGGCACTCCCAGGGACAGGGACTGAGTGCCAGGGCTGACCCCCAGGCCTGTGAGCACTGTCCCCAAGACACCTCCAGTTTGCTGCTAATTAAAGGGCACAGAGAGGACAGACAGACAGACAGACAGACACACCCATCCCCTCACTCCTGCCATCGAGGGTGAGGGGAAACCCTTCCTGAGGAATCCCAGGAACTGCAGTGAGCATCACCTGTGCACACAAGGTGTGAGGAAAAACAGCTCCAGAGGGGTTTGGCTCTGCCACGAGCCAGGGCAGGATTCACACCCCCACACCCCAAACCCTCACAGGAGAGGCAGCCCCTCTCTGGATGCCAGCTCAGCTCCCAGGACTCAGCTCCCTGTCCTGCCCAGGGCAGGGGGTTGGAACAAGGTGATATTTCAAGTCCCCTTCCAAGCCAAAGCACTGCACAATTCCCTGATCCCAGAGCACAGCACAAAGGCAAGCACGTGGCCCCACTGAGTGTCCCCCGAGCAGACAAAACCTTCCCCCTGTGCCCCCCTCCCAGTGCCCTGCCATAAATCCCAGCCCCTGGAAAGGCAAACAAAGGCTGGGACCATCTGCAGCCAGGGGCTGGCAGGTGCAGCAAGTCTGAGCTCATGTTTGCTGCTCTTCTCCCCCCGAGATCCTGGGGAGCCCCGGGGATCCGAGAGCCTTTAATTCAGGAACCGGGGAGGTGGGAGCAGAGAAAGGACACAAAGATTGTCCTGAGGCTCGTGTGGCAGGCTGGAAGGGAGAAGCGTCCCCAGGGATAAAGAGGGGAATGAAATCAAATGGGATGTGCCCTGCTGGGGTGGGGTGGGTGTGACCTGGCACTGGGATGCTTTCACAGCGGGGTTTTGGTGCCCCCACCAGCTGTGACAGCCACATCTGCTTCTCTCTATGCCACCATCCCACAGGTGCCAAGGCCAGGTGATAGGACAAGGGGAAATGGCTTTAAGCTAAAGGAAAACAGATTTATATTCAATATTGAGAAGGAATTTTTGGCTGTGAGGGTGGGCAGGTCCTGGCACAGGGTGCCCAGAGCAGCTGTGGCTGCCCCTGGAAGTGCCCAAGGCCAGGCTGGATGAGGCTTGAAGCAGCCTGGGACAGTGGAGAGGTGTCCCTGCCATGGCAGGGGGTGGAACTGGATGATCTTTAAGCTCCTTCCAACCCAACCCATTCTGGGATTCTTTGATAAAAGCACCCAAGTGCTGGATGCTCAGGATGACAGAGCAGCACAGAAAGTCTCTGATGCTCCAGAAAATGCCACACTGCAACTCTAAAGGTCAACAACCTCTGCCTGGATCCATCCCTGCTCCAGCTCCACTCACCCTCAGCAGAAGAGCTACAGCCCCAGGGCAGGAGAGGAAGAGGAGGAAAAAGGAAAAATTCCTTTGTTCATTAAAGGAAGGATTCTGTTTGTGAAAACAGCAGTTTGATTGGAAATGGGAGTCAGGGTGGCTGTGTGTCTGTTGAAAGCCCTGGCTGCCCTGTTCCACATTTTCCTGATTTTAATGAGCAGTGATGGGATTTCAGGGTGATTTCCAGGGAAATGCACTGTGAGCACGGCGTGCCGGGAAAGACGTAATGCAGAACACAAGGACATCCCTGAACGGGGAGATCCCCCAAGGGCAAACAGCTTCTGCTCACTGCCCTGGCATTTCACTCCAAAAAGGTACAAACACCACTGAAAAACGGCTTTGGGAAGCCACCAACAGCAGGAAACGTGGCCAAAGGTGGCTCAGGCAGAGACTGCCAGAGTGGGACAATGCTCTCCACCTCAGAAAACGTGTGGGACAACACACACCGGTCTAACTACAGCTTCAGCCAGCGTAAATCACAGGCTCAAGCCCTGGATTTAGGTCCTTGCCCCGTCTCAAGAGGCTCAGAGTTTGTGCAAGCACCTGGTGAGCTGGTCTGGGGGGGTGACCCAGGAACTGCTGCTGGGGGCACGGGCACAGCATCAGCCAAATGCCAGCACCAGGACAGCCAGGACCTGGCACTTGCTCTGGCCTGGACACTGGGAAAGCACTGGGAGCACAAGGCTCAGCCTAAAATGCTGATTCCCGAGTTCCAAACCACAGACAGAGCAGTTTCCTTCCCTGTGATCACCAATTCTGCTCTTGGAAGTCTCCTTGTGCCCACCCTGCTGAACAAACCAAACCCCTCCCCGAGTCCTGCGGCGCCAGAGCCTCAGGAATGTTGGAAATACACAAATTACAGACATCAGCCTCTTCTGCCTGCCTCCCCAGCCCCTTCCATCTCCCCAGATCCTTACCCTGCCTAGGAGGTTTCCTTGGAGGAGGGTCTGCTGCAGTGCTGGGGCCACCTCCTCCAGGTGCAGCATGTGGCAGAGGTCAGTGAGCTCCTCCTGCCCCAGGGACCCCGTGCCTGTGCTGTCAAAGCTGTCGAAGAGCTCCTTGAGACGAGCTTCATACTGGTCCTGCTCAGCTTCATCCATCCCATAGCCTGCCACGCTCACCTGCGGGGAGAGACGGCCCAGGTGAGCATCGGTGCCATGGGACAGCGAGAAACCCGAGAAGCCCCAAGGGCCGGCACGGGAGCTGCCCACGGGGCCATCTGGGGCCGTGTGTGGTCCCATGGAGGGCTCCAGCACCGCTCCACAAGAGCTCTGCAGAGCCAGAGCCTGGGGAGGCACAGCCCAGGT